TAAACTTTTCCTCAGATTGTTTAGCTTGTAATTTCTTCTTATTTCATCCATTTTCTTACTCTTTTCTGAAGTAGAGCCAGTTGCTCCACTAGCACCAGATGCTTGTGCCTCGGAAGACTTCTTACTTTTCGGCACACCATAAACTTCTTCCACCTTCCGGCATTGGTTCACGAATCTACTAAACTCTCGGATGTCACAATTTGACATCTTCCGAGACATCTTCTCATTTAGACCCCATTGAAATTTAGAGGTCATCTCGGCCGGAATGGGTAAGGCTCTCCCATAGTTAGCATATTTCACCAATTCATTGAACTTGGCGAAATATTGGTCAATTGTCATCGACCCTTGCTTGAGATCGTTATACTCATTCTGTTTCTGTTCCCTAGCCTCCCTAGGAAAATAGTTATCCAAGAACAATGTCTCGAACAACCGCCAGGTGATTTCCCGGCCTTCAGCTTCTAATGGCTGCACGGTATTGGTCCACCAATCTTCCGCTTCCTCTTCCAGCATATAAACAGAGTAGATTAACTTCATTGCGTCAGGGCATCTCATCACCCTGAATATCTTCTCCATAGCTTGGAGCCATTTCGCAGCCGCCATTGGCTCATAACCTCCCTTAAAAGAAGGAGGTTTGTGTTTTCGGAAAGCCATCAATCTTCTTTCTTCAGCTTCATGCTCGTCAACACGCTCAACACGTGGTTGACGGACCTCAGTGTGATGGCTATGACTATCAGAATGGTGGCTAGCCTCACCTTCATTGTTACCCGCTACACCCTCTTCCTGTGAAGGAGGTGGAGAAGGCGTAGCAGTGTGAGGAGGAGGAGTGGGTTGCCGGTTCACGGGCCTAGGACCCCTCAACGTCCTCAACTCGGTCATCATCGCGGCCATAGCAGTCCGCGAGTCTTCATTTGTCTTTAACAAATTTTCATTGGCTTGCCTGCTAGCAGCCAACTCTCTCTGAACGGCTGCAAGAGCTTCAGCCACGGGATCAGGCGGTACGCCCGTTGCCCCACGGCCACTTCTGGGCCTCACAAGAGCAGCCAAAACAGGTTCTGGCTGAGCATTGGTGTTTGATGGTCCGGGGTTGTTTCGGTTCCTCGTCATGTCACTACACATGTTACACAAAGAAGTGAGTTGATCAGGCCCACACTTAGTGATCACAAATGCAATAATCATCAAGAGTACTAAAACAACTATAAAGCATCAAACACTAAGCATACTCAACAATAGCTAACAGTTATTCCCGACGAAACTGCTCTGATACCATAAAATGTAACACCCCGTTCTAGAACCGGTTTGTTAACATCGCATTATGATATTAAGCGCAGTTACAATCACATGGGTTCAATTAAAATCCGGATAAATTTTTCATTTTAAAACATGCCGAATTTATAATACCCAATTTCGTGATCATAACCGTATTACCTTGCGGAATCAGATAAACCAAGCTTAACATCATGTTCTTATTCCATTTTTAAAACATTAATTTACTTCTTATTTATTTCCCAACTTCTACTATATTGTAGATCTCTTCGTTAGCTACGCGTGGTTTCAAACCGCTCCTCATTTGGAGCTCTGTAGCTCAAGTTATGACAATTTTACTAACTCAGGTGTATGCTGAAAAACTACGCGGGTAGGGCGCTTAAGCTCGCTCCAGGGCGCTTAAGCGCCCACAGACAGAGGGAATTTACATTTTTTTAGCCACCAAGGGCGCTTAAGCTCGCTCCAGGGCGCTTAAGCGCGCTACCTGGGCGCTTAAGCCCCCATTTTGGGCGCTAAAGCCCCATGCGGCAGAAAGCTTTTGGTCTTCACAGGTGCATCAGGGCGCTTAAGCCCCCTCATGGGCGCTTAAGCCCCCTGAGCAGGCTTAAGCCTCCATTTGCAGGCTTAAGCCCCCTCTTCTGGGCAATTTCCTATACTCATATTTTTCATGCATCTTTCTTGGGGAATCAATCCTACACATTTTACAACCTATTTAACAAGCTTGTGATATCCCTATATCATTGCTCAACTCTCATCCTCTCATCATTGATTTAACGAAAATTGGGCAGCATAATCTTTGTTTTCTCAACGTTTCCCAACTTAGCACAAGGTACCTAATTGACTTTCCAGCTCAACATATCCAATACATAAAAATACATTCATGCATTTAACTTACAGTAAGCATCATACACCAATATCTTCATTACTTACAATATTACATCATGTCTTAATTACAAATCTCATATACATGCCAAAGGACTTAGCTACAACATGAACATGATCAAAGCAAGTAACCCTGTATCAGATACCCATTACTACTACAATGATCATGCACTAAGTCCTCCAAAATACATCATGTGGCATCAAAATATACATATAGCAATGCTAAATGGCATGCAACTCAACATGTCCAGCTATCAGGTACAGTCTACTCACGCTTCTTGCCTCGATCAACCTCACCTCTATCAGTACCTGAAATGATGCCCCACAACACGGGGTGAGATATATGAATATATCACAGTAAACCAGAGGTCCTTGGAGATCACTCCACCCTAAGGTTCACTTTGATGTACACATAATCATAATAGCTTAACACATTCTTATCCACAAGCATCACATGGACTTCCAAGAGAGATCCACTATGGGCTGTTTCTCTTAGGCTCTTACCACATGGAGATCCACATAGGGCTGTTTCCAAGGGAAGTCCTTTCCTCAATCTAGGAACCTCCAAGAGGGATCCACATAGGGCTGTTCCTCTTAGGCTCTAACCACATGGAGATCCACATAGGGCTGTTTCCAAGGGAAGTCCTTTCCTCAATCTAGGAACCTCCAAGAGGGATCCACATAGGGCTGTTCCTCTTAGGCTCTAACCACATGGAGATCCACATAGGGCTGTTTCCAAGGGAAGTTCCTACCAATCATCCTCATCATAATACTATCACTCATAACCTCAATCACAATCCTCAACCATTACCTCATTCATTATTGCTACTTCTATAACCATTCCTCAATTACTCTTAAACAATCAAACATCAACCAATAATCATCAATCAATCATAACATGTATCAATGCATGAATCAATGCATGAGCATACAATCACTATCATAATTACATATCACATCTCATAAACCATTTCTCCTCAACGGAGTATGGTGGAACACTCAATGGGATCAACCACAAGGTCCAAAGGTTTACCTTGCTCTTGAGCTTTCCTCAATTGCACACAACCCCAAGGGTTGGTCACTCCACTTGGTCCTCTTGCCTCAATCCTATCAACACAAGGAATACAATCAAACAATGCTAACAATGCAAGGAAATCCATAGTTCCGAGCCTAGATTTCTCCAAACATCAAAGCATACTAAAATAACACTATAAACTCATTTCTACCGATTAAATGTCATTCCTAGCATTTTTCACAACATACTCTAAGCCTCATTCTTCCTTGAACATAGCCAATCTACTCAACATTTCATAAAAACCCTAAAACACTATTCATTAACCCTAAACTCATGCAAATCTCCAAGAATCATGTGAAAGAGAGTGGAAACTTACCACCAATGATCACACAATAGAGGAATGAGTGTTCCTCAAGCTTCCATGGAGGTTGAAACCCCCAAAACCCCAAAATCTCACAAAGGGCCGAATTTTTGAGGGGCAATATCCCTCTCCACAATGCTCCCCACTCAAAACTAAGCTTGGATTATGAAAGAGGAGAAGATTTAGAGTGGTTTAGGCTTTTGAACGGATGGATTTGGTTGAGGATTGCTCCACCTAGGATTCTCCCTCTCTTTTCCTCTTCCTTTTCCCCTCTTCTCCTTCTTCTCTTCTTTTCCTCTCTTCTGCACGACGGGTTGGGGAGGGACAATTGGGTTTCTTTTGTTGCATTGGTCACTTAACTTATGTTAAGTGACTTTAAGCGGGTATTGGTTCGTCTATCTATTCAACTCCATTAATTACCAAACTTTACCCAAAAGTCTGGAATATTATTCTAGGAATATTACTATTTTTATTTTTATATTTTGGGTACTTTCGCTTGTACCCATTTATACCCCTTAATTTTCACTGAGTACACTTTTTAACTCCAAAGTGACTCAGATTCATTTAATTAAGTCTTATACTTAATTTTATTCACTAAAACATGCTTAATTATTTAATTAAATTTAATCAATTAAATGCTTAAGTTTGGGATATTATACGTTGCCGTTGGCAACCTCGGGTTCCACCATCTCGGTCTCTTCTTCATCCGCATCATTTTCCTCATCTTCATCATCATCATTGAAGATTTCATCTTCTTCATTAATCAGATCAAAACGTCCAGGCAAGTATTTTGTTACGAAGGCCATTAGAAAATCCTTCCACATATTATTAAAGTCGCGGCAGTTCCATGTACGGAACCATTTGATTGCGCTTCCTCTGAGTCTTCTCATGGCTACCTGCCATTTGTCCTCCGTCCAGATTTTTTCTTTCCGAAAATGTTCCTTCAAACAGAGAAGCCAATCTAATGCTTCATCCTTATCTCCATGGAAGAGTGGCACTTCCATCTCGTTCTTTTCCTCCATAGCCCAAGCTCTGATACCAATTTGTTAGAATTTGGATATCCACACAGATGCAAGTGACAACCACACAAGTATATCTATGAAGAACTTTCTGTTGTCAAATCTATTCTCTTGATCTCTTGATCTATTTGATCTACTTGATCTCTTGATCTACATTTCATACAAACTATCAAAGGCTATTTATAAGCTATAAAACTGACCAACATAACTCCACACATAACACCCTCATTACTTTATAACTGACATAACTGACTCATTAATATTCTAACTGACATAACTGACTCATTAATATTCTAACTGACATAACTTCAAACTCATTAATGTCCACTAACACAAACCTAAGGACATGACTCTTCACCAGAAAACTCTTCACAATTCTATTTTCTATTTTCTGTTTTATCTCATTAAAATTTAACCCAACATTTTTTGGCACAGCTTGATGTCTTTTCCCATTGGAGAGATGGCATCACATAATGAGAAAAGCTTGTTGAAGAGTAGAACAACTGCTAATAAAACATTGAGTGGAAGAGAAGAGCAGAAGCATGAGTGCACGTGGACAAGTCTCCCAGATGATATCATGGAACTGATTACGAAGCGTTTGTGCCTAAAAGATTGCCTTGGATTGCGTGAAATATGCACCCCTTGGAGGGATTTCGTTGCTAATGCCATTGCAAACAAGCATTGCCTCCCATTGCCTGAACTGCCATTGCTTGTCCTCAAATATAACGAATCATCCACAGTTTTCAGCTTGAGGACAGAACGTCTACTTTATCCCAAAAGACCATTAATTGACACAATGCAGACCATTCAAGGCTCAGTTGAAGGATGGATGATTGTGAGTGAATATTCTAACGTGGGTAGTCCTAGTCCAAGTCTAACCATTTTCTTCTTCAACCCAGTAACTAAAGCTAGAGTCTTTGTCCCATCAGTGTTAAATTTACCATCCAACTCTCCCCTTCAAGCTGCTAAGTTGTTGATTAGAAAAATGGTGGCCTCCTCCAAACCCGATTGCTTGGATTGTTTTTTGATTGGTCTCTTCAATGATTGTTGTCACATTAAATTTTGTAGACTTTCTGGACTACAATTGAAGCCGATAAGGATACAAGGGTTCATTTTAAGGATGTGGAAATTATTGACACGAAATTGTATGCTAGAACTTCTAATTCCATATTGGTTTGGGATTTGCAAGAGTCAAGTGACAACCCCCCAAAGCCTAAAGTATTAGCTATGCTTCCACCGAGGCCACCACCAGTATCGATTGTAACTGGTAACCAACGTTTTTACAGGGGTAAAGTCTTCCCCTGCCTAGTCAAAGATGATGCATTAGGAGAATTATTCCTCATTTACATGTTCTTTAACTGTGTTTATGAAACACGACATGTTGGTTATTTGAACATTGTCACTAAATGTGTTGCCCCGCCTGAGATGACCAGAGTTGAAGTATTCAAGTTGAAGACAAGTAATGAAACTAATCAGTGGATCAAGGTTGATAATATGGGGGACCGCGTGTTGTTTGTTGGCGGTATCAAGTGCATGGTAATGTCAAGGGCAGCACTTAATAGAACTGAAGAGTTAATTAAAGAAAATATTATTTATTTTGCTTTTAGTTATGCATGTGCTGCAGACACAAGGGCAGGCATTCAATTGGGGATTATTTGCTTGACTGATAACAGCATCAAATATTTCAGTCTGGCGAAATCAAGTCCTTGCCCTTTTCCTTTTTGGTTTGTACCAAGTGTTTGATAATTCACTTCATATGTGTAATGCTATGAATAGATTACTATTTATTTTTGTGACTTGTATTTTCTGTTTTCTTTTCTATTCAAGACATTTTTATGTTTCTGATCACTTATGCTACTTAGTCTGTTATGGTTTAAAATTGTTTTTGTTAAACTCAGAGAAATTGGGATAAAACCTTATGTTCTCCTTTGGAGAATTCTCATTTAAATAGTATGATATAATTACACAATCATAACTATACAATCATAACCTACAGCTAGCTAATTAATTAAGGATATAATTACACAATCATAACCTACAGCTGGCTAATTAATTAAGGATATAATTACAAATCATAACCTACAACTGGCTAATTAATTAAGGATATAATTACAAATCTACACAAATAATGCCAAATATTCTGCTCATCAATTCTATTGACAGTTTCAGCTGAGGCATGCAGCATTTGAACAGAGTCATCCGAGACTCTAAAAAGTCATTCTCCATGCATTTGGTATATTTGGCATCCCCTGCTTCTCTTTTTATTTAATTTTTCCTTTACTTTCTGTTGACTTCAATTTCCTGTTACATGACTATAGAATTTGACTGCAATGCCAATAGTGTTGATCTCAAACAAAGTATTTAGTCAATTTCTTGGGTTTGTAAATAATGCAAGCATTGCCAACTTTAGTTGCATAGTTGCAGGTCTTTCTTTTTGGGACTACTCTTCATTTTCCTATGCTATTATACAAGGTGTGTCTACATGTACGAGAAGAAACCAAACAATGCTTCGTAAAGGATGGTGTTTGCATGACTGAATAGTAATAATAATTTATATACTTACATCATAGTAGTTAATTGCGCCGCAATAGCGCCACGAGCCGTGCCGTAAGGGCATTGCGGTGCCTCGTTGTAAGAAAATGTGTCATGCCACACCGGAACGCAATAGCGGCTATTGCGATCGCATTTGCAGCCATATTGCTGTCGTAAGGCAAAATGTCAATTTTGTCCTAATTTAAATGTGTATCAAAAAAAATTTAAGGATTTTTTAGTCTATCTGTGTCTCTCTATGTCACTTCTACTATTTCTGCCTTTAAAAATATTTATTTTTGTCATTATTTCTGTCATATATCTATTCCGCTATTTGCATAACCGCAACCCGCTATAACGCTATAGCGTTTTTTGAGGTTGGCCGCAATCCGCATTTGATAACTATGACTTACATTGATAAAATGATCGTCAATCGTCTATTGTCATCAATGTAATAAGGTTGAGTAATCAAGTCTATATATGTTTTTAGTTTTTTTATTGGCAAAAAAACGTAAATATTGCTTTGTTAATAAATATTTATAAAAATATAATCATTTTACAACTAAATACAGATCTAGTACATTCAAATACACTCAAAATTGGACATGAGTGATTACGCTCATAAGCATGCATGATCCAGGAAAGAGACATGTGATTTAGGAGAAGAGACAAATTTAACATAAACGTGACCTAAAAAATAGACAGGCAACATTCGGTGGGGCGTGACCGAAAACTTACAAGAATGATTTGACAGAAAAAGTTACAGGGGAGCTCCAACTCGCACATGAATTCACATTTTCATATGCCAGAGTACCTTCTTTTTTTATTTAATGAAACATTCAACTTTCATTGCTCGCTATTTTTTTATTTCAACGGGTGACGTGAAACATTAGCATTTCAACTGGCCAAGTTTCTAATTTTTATTCTTCTTTTATACATAGGGTATGAACTGGAGACTATTCAACAATTTTCTTTTTTCCTTTTAGTCATATTCCACACCATTTCATTTATGACACCACCTTCCCTGCCCTCACCTGTCGCTCTCACAATTTTTTTTAGAAAAAAAAAACATAAATCATAAATTAAGAAAAATAAGGTTTAGAAAATATTTGAATGATTTTTCTTTTTTCCTTCTTGAAACAGAAATTATGGTATAATTATGTCGGGCCATAGGGTTTATACCATAATTAAACCATAATTTCTGTTTCAAGAAAGAAAAAAGAAAAATCATTCCAATATTCTCTAAACCTTATTTTTCTTAATTTATGATTTATGTTTTTTTTTTCTAAAAAAAATTGTGAGAGCGACAGGTGAGGGCAGGGAAGGTGGTGTCATAAATGAAATGGTGTGGAATATGACTAAAAGGAAAAAAGAAAATTGTTGAATAGTCTCCGGTTCATACCCTAACATGTATAAAAGAAGAATAAAAATTAGAAACTTGGCCAGTTGAATTGCTAATGTTTCACGTCACCCGTTGAAATAAAAAAATAGCGAGCAATGAAAGTTAAATGTTTCATTAAATTAAAAAAGAAGGTACTCTGGCATATGAAAATGTGAATTCATGTGCGAGTTGGAGCTCCCCTGTAACTTTTTCTGTCAAATCATTCTTGTAAGTTTTCGGTCACGCCCCACCGAATGTTGCTTGTCTATTTTTTGGGTCACGTCTTATGTTAAGTTTGTCTCTTCTCCTAAATCACATGTCTCTTTCTTGGATCATGCCTGCTTATGAGCATAATCACTCATGTCCAGTTTTGAGTGTATTTGAATGTATTAGATCTGTATTTAGTTGTAAAATGATTATATTTTCATAAATATTTATCAACAAAGCAATATTTACGTTTTTTTGCCAATAAAAAAAACTAAAAACATATATAGACTTGATTACTCAACCTTATTACATTGATGACAATAGACGATTGACGATCATTTTATCAATGTAAGTATATAAATTATTATTACTATTCAGTCATGCAAACACCATCCTTTACGAAGCATTGTTTGGTTTCTTCTCGTACATGATGTGGACACACCTTGTATAATAGCATAGGAAAATGAAGAGTAGTCCCAAAAAGAAAGACCTGCAACTATGAAACTAAAGTTGGCAATGCTTGCATTATTTACAAACCCAAGAAATTGACTAAATACTTTGTTTGAGATCAACACTATTGGCATTGCAGTCAAATTCTATAGTCATGTAACAGGAAATTGAAGTCAACAGAAAGTAAAGGAAAAATTAAATAAAAAGAGAAGCAGGGGATGCCAAATAAACCAAATGCATGGAGAATGACTTTTTAGAGTCTCGGATGACTCTGTTCAAATGCTGCATGCCTCAGCTGAAACAATTTTAAACCATAACAGACTGGGTAGCATAAGTGATCCGAAACATAAAAATGTCTTGAATAGAAAAGAAAACAGAAAATACAAGTCATAAAAACAAATAGTAATCAATTCATAGCATTACACATATGAAGTGAATTATCAAACACTTGGTACAAACCAAAAAGGAAAAGGGCAAGTACTTGATTTCGCCAGACTGAAATATTTGATGCTGTTATCAGTCAAGCAAATACTCCCCAATTGAATGCCCACCCTTGTGTCTGCAGCACATGCATAACTAAAAGCAAAATAAATAATATTTTCTTTAATTAACTCTTCAGTTCTATTAAGTGCTGCCCTTGACATTACCATGCACTTGATACCGCCAACAAACAACACGCGGCCCCCATATTATCAACCTTGATCCACTGATTAGTTTCATTACTTGTCTTCAACTTGAATACTTCAACTCTGGTCATCTCAGGCGGGGCAACACATTTAGTGACAATGTTCAAATAACCAACATGTCGTGTTTCATAAACACAGTTAAAGAACATGTAAATGAGGAATAATTCTCCTAATGCATCATCTTTGACTAGGCAGGGGAAGACTTTACCCCTGTAAAAACGTTGGTTACCAGTTACAATCGATACTGGTGGTGGCCTCGGTGGAAGCATAGCTAATACTTTAGGCTTTGGGGGGTTGTCACTTGACTCTTGCAAATCCCAAACCAATATGGAATTAGAAGTTCTAGCATACATATTCGTATCAATAATTTCCACATCCTTAAAATGAACCCTTGTATCCTTATCGGCTTCAATTGTAGTCCAGAAAGTCTACAAAATTTAATGTGACAACAATCATTGAAGAGACCAATCAAAAAACAATCCAAGCAATCGGGTTTGGAGGAGGCCACCATTTTTCTAATCAACAACTTAGCAGCTTGAAGGGGAGAGTTGGATGGTAAATTTAACACTGATGGGACAAAGACTCTAGCTTTAGTTACTGGGTTGAAGAAGAAAATGGTTAGACTTGGACTAGGACTACCCACGTTAGAATATTCACTCACAATCATCCATCCTTCAACTGAGCCTTGAATGGTCTGCATTGTGTCAATTAATGGTCTTTTGGGATAAAGTAGACGTTCTGTCCTCAAGCTGAAAACTGTGGATGATTCGTTATATTTGAGGACAAGCAATGGCAGTTCAGGCAATGGGAGGCAATGCTTGTTTGCAATGGCATTAGCAACGAAATCCCTCCAAGGGGTGCATATTTCACGCAATCCAAGGCAATCTTTTAGGCACAAACGCTTCGTAATCAGTTCCATGATATCATCTGGGAGACTTGTCCACGTGCACTCATGCTTCTGCTCTTCTCTTCCACTCAATGTCTTATTAGAAGTTGTTCTACTCTTCAACAAGCTTTTCTCATTATGTGATGCCATCTCTCCAATGGGAAAATACATCAAGCTGTGCCAAAAAAATATTGTATCTTTGTCTTAACTTAAGAACTTTGTTAAAATCAAAATTGACCAAAAAATATAAAAAGGCAAAACCTTTCAAAAATATTGAGGAAGGAGAGAGCCATGAAAAACAACCGCAGTGCAGAACACCTAGAATGTTCAGACTGGAACAAGAAGGCTTCTTCAGATTAAGAGTGACATTCTTTTTTAGGTTATTTGAATTTGAACGAAAACAAACCTATGTGATATCTGTGACTCCTAGGGTTTTTTATTTGGAGTGAAATTTGGAAAATAACTTCCTGTTATATCTGTTACTGGATCAATTTCTATGGCTACAAGAATAATATCAAACATAA